TGCACAAAGAACTCTGGAAGGATGCAGAGAAACCTGGTGGTGGGTCAAACCTGGGAACTGGCTGGAGGGGGCAATTCTGGGTACGGTTTCACACCGTGTGTCTTTTTACATTGTTTGATCATTAACTCCTGTTCATACACTGATGTGATGCGCATCTAATAGGCATCAGGCACTCTTCCACATGCTGAAGATACAGCAGTCAGAAAAGAAAGAAAAATCTCTGTGCTCCAGGGAACTTACACTCTAATAGAGGAGATAGATAGTAATCCAGATAAATAAATGAAATAGGCAGTATGTTGGGTGGTGATGAGGAGATAACAGGAACAGGGGGTAGGAGGGTATGAAGTACTGAATGTATGCTGGAGGGGAGGAGGCAGATAGGGTGACAAGAGCAAACCTTTCCAAAAAAGTGACTTTTAAGGAAAAATTTAAAGGAAATAGAAGAGTGGGCCTGGAGAATGTATTATCAATTTAAAGCATTAAATTAAATTAAAAAGAGAATGTATTATCAATTCAAAACATTAAATTAAAAAGATACCATTTAATCTTTGTAGCAATCCTATTAGAAGTTATTTTGGGGGTTATTACTATTAACAAGATTATCACTCTCATTATAAATTATTATATTATGATTCCAAGGAATTGCTTGCAAATAGTTGAAACAAGAAATGCTAACTCCTACAGTCCAAAAGGGAGACAAAACGTGTAGGGAGCACATCGATGAACACCTAAGCCAGGGTAGGGACTGAAGGGAGAAGGTGGCACTGAGAGAGATCAGAAGACTAGAAGTGAGTTAGCCAGTCCAGGCCTGGAGGGAAGAATTTTTGGTGAAAAAAATGACTGTACAAAAGCAGAGAGGTGAGAAAAGGCCTGACAAGTGGTTTAAAAAGAGTAGAGTGAGGCCTTCATCAGTGAGGACAATAAGTAATTAAGGGCACGGAAATGTCAAGGTCAGGCTCTAAAAGTTCTGGGAAGGCACATAAGAAACTGCAGGTTGGAGAACCTCAAACCATTCCCAAGTCCCTTCTCCCTCACTTGCCTCTACTCTAGAGCATGTTAACTTTGGCACCATTGATATCTAGAACCAGTTAACTCTTTGTTGTGGGGACTTGTCCTGTGAACTGTAGACTGTTTTACTACCTGCAAGATATCAGGAGCAGCCACCCCTCCCTGTCCCAGTTATGGCATTACCTGAAATCCCGCTGTAGAGCAAAGTCACTCCTGGTTGTGGACCACTGGTCTGGACATTAAAAATACTAAAATTCTCATTTTTCTCACCTCTCTTGCAGCTAGAGATAACCATGTAACACAGTTCTGGCCAATGAAATGTGAGAGTAGATCTACTGGAACATTCTTCCTCTTACTGCATTTTTTTTTATCTTGAATGAAGACAAGAACAATAGCAGCCACTTTGCAGCCATAACAAACATAAAAGAAAAGCCATGAGAATCACATAGATGTTGGCCCTTACATTTTTGAGCCCATGGACTAATGCTGGCAAGCACCTACTTCCAGACTTCTTATTTTGTGAGTAAGATAACTCCTGTGTGTTTAGGCCACCCAGTGGAGGTTTTTTATTATTTGCAGCTGGAACCATTCTGACTATGAAATTATAGATAGTGAGTATCGACTAAAGGATTCTAAAAAAATTAAAATAATTTGATCATTACACCTACATTTTGGAAAGACCATTTTGCTACAAAATACTGTCTATGAAGCAAGACTGGAGGAGGGTAATGGAAAATGCCATTATGGTAAGGCTGACAAATACATGATGGAACCTGGACCACCTCAGTGGTGGTGGGAGTAAAGTGGAGGTGATACATCTGAGGGACATTGAGAGGCAAAATAGACCAGCCCTAAGCAATTGGATACAGGCAGTGAAGACGATGTTTCAAAGGTTAAAAATTATTTTTCTTGTATAGGTGATACCCTAGATGGTATACAAAAGAAGGAGCATGTTTAAAGAAAAGAACAATGTTCCATTCTAGGCGAAGTTGATTTTGTAATGCTTATGGCACATCCCAGTGGTAATGTTAAAGGCATTTAGATACACAGCTTGAAAGTCAGAAAAGAGTAAGATAGTGGTAATTTTTAAAATATATGTATGATAGATTTCAAATTTTTAAATGCAAATAAAATAATATTACTACACAAGTACTATTAATGAAATATGAAATATTTAAAATATAGCTAAACAAAAGAATATTTTAAAATACAGATGCTCATACAACCCCAGCTTCCAGGTATAATTTACAGTAAAATGTGGTTATATATACATGTAAATACACACATGTAAATGGTATTATACTGCAAATGCTGAATGGTAACAGGCTGTATTCACTTAACAGCATATCATAACCATCTTTCTACTTCAACTAACAGTCACCCATTTTTCTGATTTTTTATTATAATAAACAGTGCTGAGATCAACTGTCTTCAGTAAAATTTTTGTGTTTTATCAAAAAAATTTTTTATCAAAATTGTTTTATGTTTTATCAGTAATTATATTTTTTCTTTGTCAAATTGCTAATTCTTGTGCTTTGCCCATTTTTCTTTGGTATATTTACCTTTTATTGATTTGTAAGAGCTCTTTATATGTTATAAACTTTAATCCTTCATCAATGCTACATTTTTTTCTTAGTTTGCATTTGACATTTAATTTTAAGGTACATTTTGATCAACAGATATTTAAAACTGTTGGACTACTCATGATTTGAATTGGCCATTGTGAAGAATAGGAACAGGATGTAGCTAAAAGCAAATAGAGAGACTGAGCTTTATTTGAATGGCTCAGCTGAGGTTGGATAGCATGAATTTCTAATGACTTCAATCCGCAAAGTTGTAGCAGCATTTGGTTATTTGCATGCAGAGAGAAAGGAAAGAAAGATTTGTTTAGAGTCTGTATTTCCTTGATTTAATCAGAAGCCGGACTTAGGAATAAGAGAGTTTTGTGCAGTAGCAATTGTGTTACTGAAATCCTGGGGCCACGTGGGACAAGATAAGAGGCAACTGATGTGCTGGGAAGGGCCGGGGTCCCCCTGTAGCTGCAAACCAGACACAGCAGAATGAGAACATGAGAGAGCTACAAGATTAGGAAATTTCTACAATTTTCCTCTGTCAAACTTTTCTTATTGCTTCTGATCCATTCTATTTTCTCTTCTAAAGCAACATGTATTTGTATCTGTTATATTTACCTTCATATTTTCAGTTTCTTTATTCATTTCCTTTACAGTCAGGCTGTGTTCCCACCACACTCAGAATCAATTTTCTACCGTCAAGTCTAAAGATTGGATCGAACACAGTTTAGCCATTCTACTTTCCATTCCTTTACATTCTCTTTTTATCTCAGCCCATACTTACTTAAAAGAAGCATTGTCTTCCTGTATCCCAAGCAATATTTAATTCCAGAATATGGGGTGGAAAGGAGAAAAGCTAGAGAGAGAACAACAGGGCCATGCACCCATTCGGCCTTAACAAGATCACAAGACACCCAGGCAACACCAGACCATTCACCAAGTCACCACACTCGAGGGCCACAGCTCAGGGTCATGCTGGCCACAGTGGAAAACTGCCAGGTACCTCCTGTGCTGACTAGAGTTCTAAAGTCCAGTACCCTGTTTGCTCTTACCATAGATATTTTCTTGCAACAGCTGACTTGCAAGTGTCTTTTGAGGTCTTAAAAACCCCAGACGACCTCTCAGACACTCAGTTCATTTTAGGGGTATCTTCACTATAGAGTTGAAGGACCATTGTTCAACTGCTTATGGACACTTGATACCAGAGTTTCAAACATCTCTTTCCCAGCTCCAGTGTCCTTTTTCCCAAGAACGGCCTTGAAGAGCAAAGCTGAGATTCCTCGGATGGGTGGGTGCAAGGGGAAGGAGGCCCCAGGCACTGGCCTCAAACCACCTAAGGAGGGAGGTGAGGAGTTGACTAAGGCCCTGCTGGGCCTCTGCTGATGCGAGAAGGAAGAAGCTTAGACTTGAGGCAGCGTAGACTACATGTTGCACCCAGCCAAACACAAAGGAGGCAGCCCTGTGTGCCTGAGAAGTCCTCCTTTCTAAAATCAGGGTGCACATCATCCGAGATCACCTCACAGAGAGAATGCATGAGCTTCCTTTATCCTCAACCCTAGCTCTGATTTTCCATTGTAAACAGAAATGTCAGGTTCTGCACCACATACCAACCCCGGCTAGAGAACTAGAAAGCAAAACCAGTCCTTGCCCAAAGGATATCTAATCAGAACTTCAGTCCCTTCCTTTTTATACAACATCCAGAGACTTCAGGTAAAACAAAACAAAGTAAAAACAATTTAAAAAAATTAAAAACTCACTCAAGCTGTATGAAATCAGTCTGTCATTCCAACCAGTAAGCATTTTCATACATTTTTCTTAAATTTCAGCTTGATTCAGAGGTGTTTTTAAATGGCTTCTCTTATATGAAGAGCATCTGTTCTCAAGCAATGATCTTAAGGAGAACGTCAACCATCTTCCGACAAAAGTACAACTTTGACCCAAGAATGGAGCAAATAGCAGACTCTCCCCAACTCACATACCCTCTGTCTCCATGTCTCCCAGAAGGTTATCAAACACCTCACAGAGCACACAGCCCCCAACACAGGTCACATGCACACACGGAGAACGGGGTTGAGAACCACTGCACAGACACAGCCAGGTGGAAGACACTCCATCCGGGTCTTTCACAGCAGAGTTAAATGCATAATGACAGAAGCAGACAATAGCCCCAGGCTACATCATTCACTCTGTTAAGCCCAAAATGAAACAAAGCATTTTCAGCAAGGTAAAGCTCTTAGCACTGCCACCCCCAATCTGCCAAATCAGAGAATGCCGTGCTTAACTCTCAAACCAGAAGGCCTTGCCTCTCAAAACTCAGCACACAGGGCTCCTCTGCTTGGATTGCATAGCATGTCTCTCCAGAATGTGGCCTGTCCCCAGCCCCAGGCCTCAGCCCTGGCCCAGCTGAGACTGACAACCTACCTGAGACAAAGGAATAGGCCGCTAGGATGTTGCTGAGTAAAGCCATGTCCACTCGCTGGGCAGTCAGAGGCTCCGTGCTGGGTGGAAGGGCGGCCTCCATGTGGCATCCAGAGGTGCCTCCTGGAGGTGCTTCCACTGGATCAGCGTGGCCCCTCCTCCTCTTCTCTTCTGTTTGGGAACACAACGTGAGTGGTGAGAACACATTCTGCTTTCCCGAGGCTGTGTTCCAGGTAGCCTGGGCTCAAAACAAAGAGCCAGTCTCCCAAATGCCAGCCAGCCTCCCAGCCAGGGGATCTGGAGTCTTGTCCTTTGTGCTCTAGTGAGCTTCTTGGCTTTCAGGGAAGGAACACCTCCTTACATATCTGTTTTTCCTGGCCTTTCTCCTTTCTTTTCCCCATATCCTCCCAACTTCCCATTCTGGCGCTTGTTCCTCACCTTTTCTGGTACTTTTTATTGTATTCTCCCTGTTTGCCGTGGAGACACAGCCCACCCTCACGTTAATCACTGCACTGTAACCCCAAGCCCAGCTGGCTCTCCGCCTGGCTCTGCTTCCCCTGCACAGACAGCACCGGTGGACTTTGATCAGCTTGCTTCACCCCACAGGTCACCAAATGTGTGTCCTTGGCAGTGGGTGTGAGCTGGCCACTCCAGACCTGCTGAAGTAGGTCCCATTCTAAAATGTCCCCAAGAACTTGGGAGCTCGAGCCCACTCCCTGAGTACAGTTTCATGATTCCACCTGTGACTGTCATGGACCAACCAAATACACACACAGGGCCATAGACTGCCCACCGGCGGAGCCTCCCCAGCAGGGCTCAGCGCTGGCCCTAGGGTCCCAGTGTTCCGGGGCTCGGCCTCTGGCTGTGGGAGCGCATCATGTCACAGCTGCGGCAAGATCATTATTCAGTTCACTCAGAGAAGCCCTCACAGAGCACTTGAAGGATGGGAGGGGAAAGAATCTTTTTTTTAAGATTTTACTTATTTATTTTTTAGAGAGAGGGGAAGGGAGGGAGAAGGAGAGGGAGAGGAACACTGATGCAAGAGAGAAACTGATCAAATCAAACCGGTGCTCTTTCGCTTTTCAGGAAGTCACCCAACCAACTGAGCCCCATTGGTCAGGGCCGGGGAAAGACTCCTGATGACACATATTCAATGATGCTCTGAGCTGAGGGCAGGAAACTGAGTCGCAGGGTGTGGAAGGATGTCAGGATGGGGAAAACCAGAGAAGCAGAAGGCTCCAGTCATTGTGGAGAAGCAGGGTCTCAGGTGGGTCACCAACATCGTCACAAGGGCCACACTTAGGGACCTGAAGGCTGCAATTCCAGAGGTAGGTGGGATAGGTCGCAACTGAAAAGCCAACTCTCACTCTGGTAGGGGAGACCAAAAGGAAAGACAGGCCGACCTGCAGGTCAGAGAGAAATGACCGCAAGGCCCTGGAAGCAGCCCGAGGCCCAGGGCATGGCAGGGTAAGGAGTGGGTGCCCCGCAGCGCTGAGAGGGGCTGGCTGCTGCTCCCGGCTGCGCTGTGCCAGGGCACGGCGTTGCTTCAGCAGCTGTCTGAGTGAATCGTTGGAATCACCCCCTGAGTTCAGAGACTTTTCTGTGGGTCTGGGGACTGTGGGACCCAAGAAAAGTGTGAAGCCACTGGAAAGTAGCTGAGTATGTGGTGGGAAAAGGCCATCTCAGATCCATTCCCTCCTATCAATTCCCCCTAATTCTACCATGGAGCAAATCTCATCATTTTATTTCTAGGAGTTTTGCAACAGTCTCCTCCCTAGTCCTTCTGCTAACAACTACTTCCTGCTCAATCTAGCACCCACTCTCACCAACAGGGTCATCTTTATGAAGCACAAATCTGATCACTCCACTGCACAGCCCTGCCCTTCAATTAACCTCCATTAAACTTCTTAATACAATACGCATCAGCTTCCAAAAAATCTGACCCCAACAGCTCAGTTCCTATTTCATCTCCTGCTTGAGTCTACACCCACACACGTGAACAGATACAAGCCTAATGCCTAATGATCCAACAATATCAGGTTATTTTTCGTTCCCCAAATACACTAAGCTCTTTTATTTTTCATGAGTTTGATTATGCTCTTCCTTTTACCTGAATGCCCACCTCCCCTTACCTGTCTGGCAAATGTTTTAAGGGAGAATTTAAAAGTCCTATGGCAGTCCTCAAATCCCAATGACTTCTTCTGAAGAAATAGAAAAATCCACACTAAAATTCATATGGAGTCTCAAAGAATCCCAAACAGCCAAAACAATATTGAAAAAGAACTAAGTTAAAAGTCTCACATTTACTGTTTTCAACACTTATTTCAAAGTTACAGTTATCAGCACTGGCCAGTGTGGCTCAGTTGGTTGGAGCCTCCTGTGCACCAAAATATCACTGGTTCTATTCCCAGTCAGGGCACATACCTAGGTTGTGGGTTCAATCCCTGATCGGGGCATGAGAAGAGAAGGAGGCAACCAATAGATATCTCTCTTTCACACTGATGTTTCTCTCTCTCTCTCTCCCCCATTCTCCCCTTTGTCCCTAAAATCAATAAATGTATACTCAAGCAAGGATGAAAAAAACAAAAAGCTACAGTAATTAAAACAGTGTAGTACTGGTATAGACATATGCTCCAATGGAATAAAGAGCCCAGAAACAAACCCTTATGTATGTGGTCAAGTGATTTTCAACAAGGTGCAAAGACCTTTCAAGAAGGAAAGAGCAGTCTTTTCAACAAACGTTGTTGACAAAACTGGATACTCACATGAAAAAGAATAAAGTTGAGCCCTTACCTTATACTATATTTAAAAAATTAAAAATGGATCAAGGACCTAAATGTAGAACTAAAACTAGAAAACTCTTAGAAGAAATATACGGGTAAGCTTCATGACACTGGATTTCACAAAAATCTCTTAGCTATGCAAGGCAACAAAAGTAAAAATAGATAAATTGAACTATATCAAAACTTAAAATTTCTGTATGTCAAAGAACACAATCAACAGAGTGAAAAGACAACCCATGGAGGGAGAGAACATATTTCCTAATCATATATATGATAAGGGGTTAATATCCAGATTATTAAAGAACTCCTACAACTTATCAACAACAAAAACAAACAACCTGATTAAAAATAAATGGACAAAGAACTTGAATAGACATTTCTCCAAAGGAGATATACAAATGATCAATAAGCACATGAAAAGATGCTCAACATTATTAATCACTAAGGAAATCCAAATCAAAACCACAATGGATACCACCTCATACCCATTAGGATGGCTACTATCAAACAAACAAACAAACCTAAAAGAAAATAAATGTTAGAGAGGATATGAATAGAACCCCTTATACAATTGATGGAAAGGTGCTACAGATAACAGTATGGCAATTTCTCAAAAAATTAAAAATAGAATTACCATATGATCAGCAATTCTGCTTCAGGGTAGATACCCAAAAGAATTGAAAACAGGAATTCAAACAGATATTTGTGCACCAATTATTAAGCACTATTCACAGAAGCCTAAAGGTAGAATCAATCAAAGTGTCCAGCCACAGATGGATGAATGAATCAAATGTGGTATATATACAGTGAAATGTTACTCATACATAGCCTTCTCAGGGAAGGAAATTCTGATGCAGGCTACAACCCAGATGAACCTTGAGGACATCATGTTAAGTGAAATAAGCCAGTCACAAAAGAATAAGTACTGTACGGTTCCACTTACATGAAGTACTCAGAATAATCAAATTCAGAGAGGCAGGAAGTAGAATGGTGGTTGTCTGCGGCTGGCAGTGGAGGGGAATGGGAAGTCACTGTTTAATGGGTACGAAGTTTCAGTGTGGCAAGAAGAAAAGCATTCTGGAGGTGGGTGGGGTTGTACAACAGTGTACATGTATTTAATACCACTGAACTGTATACCTAAAAGTGCTTAAGATGGTAAGGTTTCTAGTTTATATTTTACCATAATCTTTCAAAATAATAACAATAAAAATAGGGTGTTGATGAGGTACAGCAGGAAATTCTGAAGGTTACTTTGTACAGAGGATCCTGAAATCCAACTTTGGTGTTAACAGGAGTGGCAGCAGGATTATCCTTTAGTGATACTCCAACTGAAGAAATCCTAATTTATACCGCATTATGAATATGGCCTAATTTTTAGTAAAAGATGCTATCTCACTTATCAAATATTGGATAGTAATAATTTTAATCTGTCACATTTATAAACAGAAAAAGCATATCATTAAATGCAAAACTATGTTTGTGTAAAACTTAATAAAAATTTGTAATTTTAAAAAAGTTTACAGCAGTGAAACTCCAAATCCTCTATACTCTTGGGCTATCAAAGTATCCAAACATTCCTCTAATATTGCACCTATGGTATAGTAATTAGAATTATCCCTTTACATGTTTGTCTCCCACGCTGAAGAGGCATCTTATAAATCTTTGTTACACAAGCACCTAACTTGGTGCTCATGAAAGCAGGTTCTAAGTAAATGCTGGCTGGCTGGCTGGCTGCAAAACAAAAAGAGTGATCAGGCATGAGCTTGTCTCAGAGGGTATTTCTGGGCAGGTCTGAGGGTAAGCCACCTTGAAAGGATAGCAACGCTGACTGGCTCTGAGTGGGGCGCCAAGCAGAGCACTTCCTCAGGACTAGGAGAGGACCACGTGCAGGATGGAAGCTTTACTGTGGCACAGAAATTCTTCCTGCACCTCCTCAGGGCCCAGGTGCTAATTGAGGGGGTGGCAAGAGCCAAAGGTAAGAGGAAGAGGGACAGAGAAGGCAGGACAAGCATGAAGAAAGACAACCTCTGGATGGTCCATCCTAAAGAACAACCAGGAAGGCCCTCCGTGGTACACGTGGCACAAGTCAGCCTAGAGCAGGGGTCAGGACATCCCTACTATAAGGGCCAGGGAGTAAGCATTTCAAGCTTTGAGGGCCAAATAGTCTGTCTCAACTACTTGGCTTTGCCATTGTGGTACCAAAGGCACCATAGATGATATGTAAACGAACGTGTGGCTGTGTTCCAATAAAACTTTGCTTTTGAAAATAAGTGGTGGACCCAGTTAGGCTCATGGACCATAGTTTCCGGGCCTCTGGTTTAGTTCTTACTCCTCAAGGTATGGTTCAAGGACCAGCAGCATTGACATCACTGGGGAGCTTGTTAGATCGGCATAATCTTAGATACCACACAAGACTCTTGGAATCAAAATCTCACTTTACAAGATGCCAAGGGAAGTTTGCCCAGCAGATCTGTGATCTGCTTCAGCCTGAGCACTAAGATGCTGTAACTCCACCTGGTCGAGTTTCACTTAGTGCATCCTTCATAAATGGGACCTAGGGAAGGAGAGCATCCTCGCTGGCCCTGCCGCACAGTCAGCGCTGTAAGTGGGTTCAGAGCACCTCAGAGAGGACACCAAGCCCGAGGGCAGGACTCGGCAGAGAAGTGATGAGCCTCAGAGCCAAACTCTATGCTCCAACCCTTCTCTCTGAGCCCTCCCTTAATAGTGATGGAACAGCTCCAGGTAGCTCAAGCCATTTTCCACTGGCCATTTGCCCTC